TAACACAAATTTTGGGCGTGTTGAATGTGTTGATTCAGCGTTTTATGGAATGTGTTCTCTGAGCGATATCATACACACGCGTCAGAAAACTTTTTTGAAACTTAATTATGGCAAAAATGCTTTTCGGTGAAAAGTCGCGAGAAATCTGAATGACGTTTCTTTTCTTGATGCGAGGCTCGAGCACAGTCACGTCACATGCAATCTAAGCTAAAGGGTTCGAAAAATGCAGATAGGTAACAACATTTAAATGGTCATATAACTAAAGAACACTTTCAAACTTTAAACAAGTTTGATGTAAATCATATTAAATATATAGTTTTATTTGAATAAGGCTCATTTCACCTACTTCTTTTAGTAATAATATATTTGACAGGCTACCCACATGTACGCATTTTGTACCTATTATTAGTAATAGCTATACAAGAAAATTTATAGATTTAATATAAGGTGTGTCGGTGCAGGTAGTGATGAACGAACAACAAAGAATAAAAACAGTCTTTATTTTATTTAAATTATGTAAGAAATGAGATAACGTGTGTCATTGCATGTAGTGATAAAAGAACAACAGAGAATGAGAGCAGTTTTTATTCTACGTAAAATATATAGCAAAAAAGATAACGTATGTCATTATAGGTAGTGATAAATAAACAAAAGTTGAGCTCATCAGCCACAATTAGCACAATTTAGAAACGGATTTGAGAAGCGATGTGTGTTTTAGAATTGTTTTTACGTTTGGCGATTGCCCTTCTCTCCCAATGGGCACAGTCTCAATGCATAAAACTGCCAAGGCTGGAAGAAAAAACGAAACCAGAGGCAGCAGAATGCATAAATAAAGATTTCTATATGATGTAGGCATTTGATACACAAACTGCACTTAAAAAAGCTAAACAGGAACTTATGATATTAATGGCATCCTAGAAAACGGAGTGCATTTAAAATGATTAAGATTAGGTTTAAAAAAGGATTAAGACTTACTGCTTCTATTCCAAGATATGTTAGAAATCTTCCAAGTTGGAAAACAATGGAGGCTTACTACCAGAAAACGAATCTTTAACTGAGGAAGAACTTCGCCAAGCAGAAATATATCGAATCAAGCAAGGACATTCAAACCTTTTTGACTAATTAAAGAAACAAAAATTTTAAAATGCTCTCCCTTTTCGTCAGCGATATACATCTCACAAAATAGATGTCCGTTAATCAAATCTTTGACTCGTAAAAATCAAAGACTAGTTCTGCTAGCTTATGATAATTGCGTCTCATGGATGATCACGCTTTATGATATAATGAAGTTCGCCAGAAAGAATTTACAGAAACAGTAGCTAAAAGCATAATAAGATACTGGATTATCAAAGCACATAGAACTGCAAAAGTGCTGAAAGGTAAGTGTGCAGTTTGCAGGAAAATCGAAGCAAGAACAGAAAAGCAGCTAATGTCGAGTTCACCAACATTTCGTCTGCAACTATCTTTTCGATATTTTTCTGTACATCGTTTGATTATTTTTGACCTATCAACTTGAAAGTTGGTCAGAATAAATGTAACGGCATAGGTGCCAGCATTTATGTAAGTACAATGATGTTTCTTTTCCTACAGTGGTATCCAATTTGGTTCTCAGATGGTTGGAGAATATAACAAGTTACGTCACAAATGTTAAGTTTACTAACCAATCATAATTTAGTGACGAATAAAAAATTAATTTGCCCATGTCAATTGTACTCACCACTTTAAATTTGCATTGTTACTCTCAAAATTGTTCCTCTCGCTTTAAACCCTTGCTTTATTGAAGATACGTTGATGATTGTTTTCTCCTTTTTCCTACTGCTGACCATGTGCAACCCTTTCTTACCTATTTAAAACAAAAACACCCCAGTATTAAGTTTACGAGTGAAATCGAACACAATGGAAAACTTCCATTTCTTGACAACACTATTCATCGCTCTAATGGAAAGTTCTTCACGTCCATATACAGAAAACCTACGTTCACTGGTCTTGTTACTAATTTCAACAGCTTCAACCCACTAACATATAAACGCAGTTTAATATTATGTTTAGTTCATCGCTTCTTTAATATTTGCTCCACTTATGAAAACTTCCATACTGAAATCCAAAAAGCACGCAGATTAGTTCCAATTCATTTCCCTGTCACATATTTGATCACTGTGTAAAAATCGTTCTTGACAAAGTCTTTCAACCCAGAGCACCTGCTCATACCGTACCCAAGAAAATACTGTATTTCGGCTTCCCATTTACTGGTCTACACTCATCCCAAATCCACACACCAATCAATCGACTTTGTCGTGCCTCTTTCCCACACTGTAAAATACGATTCTTCTTTAGATCCACCAAACGCTTCTCCAGCTTGTTTCCTTTCAAGGACAAAGTGCCCAAAACTCTGAAATCAAATGTTGTCTATTCTTTTAAGTGTCCATGCTGCTCTGCATCGTACGTGGGTCAAACCACCCGCCACCTACACACTCGAATTTCAGAGCATTTGGGAATCACCCGTTTGACTGGTAAACCTTCTAAACATCCCTGTCATTCCTCCATACTATCACACCTTAAATCCACAGGACACACCGCCACCTTCGAGGATTTTAAAATACTTTCTTCATGCTCAGACTCACAAGAACTTTTTATTCACGAAAGCCTCTTAATCAACAAAATGCAAGCATCTCTTAACGTCCAAGGAAACTTTATTGTCCTTCAGTTGCTTTAATCTAATTTCGTCCGTCCTCATGTCTGTATTACTTTTTGGTTGTTTGTGTTTTGTTTTTTTGTTTCTTTCGTGTTTCTACTTATCCCACGTCATACCATCTTATCTAATATTTACTAACGCGTTTTCATCCCATCATGTAATTTATTATTATGTAAATATCTATTATATATATATAGGTAGTTTATAATTTATGATTTTCCGTATAAAACAGTGCTCGATGCCCGAGAGCAGAGCGTAAATATTGGTAAGAAGAAGAAAATACACAAAAACTACAATTTCAATCCCCTGAAGAGTGAGCAATCACGAAACAGGCTTGTCGGGATGAAATTGTAGTTTTTATTTCTTCTAATATTATATATATATATATATATATATATATTCCTCTATACTTGTAAATCAATATTGTCTGATGATGTCTTGAGAGTCAAGACGAAACGTTACACTTTTAAGTAAATATTTCTTTTCATGCATTAAATGACTCTTTTAAAAGCACTTTGCTGGGCTTTCATATTTATATTTAAAGTTCGCTTTTCGCCCGGTATATCCCTGGTTACAGTACAATGTATAGAAACGGTGCCAAACAGGAGACTAGGGGAGCTTGAACTTCTCCCTTTTTCTCCAAGATAAATTTTTTGCTAAGATTTATATCTTTTAGCCTAACTTGATCCAAAAAGGACGCCGTAAATTTAGTAAATATTACTCGTAGCTCCCCTCCCAGGTTAAATTTCGTAGGGCCGTCCCTTATGTATAAATAAAAACTTAACAAAGAACCCACGCAGATTGGAGTTTTTTCGAAGAGTTGAGGAAGTATTTTGGTAAAAGTGGTAGAGGTTGTTTTTTCCTTAAAACGTTGATAGAAAAAAATTGAAATACAGATTTGCTAAATATTCGAGTTGATGATTACGTCGTCGTCGTTTGTCCATATACAGTGAGATGAAAATGGAAACTTATAAAGTATTTTAAGTGTTTACAAGACAAGATGATTTAATTAGCTGTGTTTTTATAAAAATGAAGGAAAAAACTTATTCTCATTCCTTCAGTCCGATTTTTGTCATATATCTTGCTGATAGCATCGGAAACAGTTTAAAATTTATATGTTAATTTTAGTTTCGTTTTGATTAGATAAAATAAACTAATGGATTGTAAGTAAAATGTGCCCGAAATCATTAGCAGTTGCCGTTTTCATATTGCAAATTGCAAGCACGAAGAAGGAAACCTCTGGAATATCGGTAGAAAATGATATGTTTTTTTAAATTATTTGTTTTTTTTGACATTGGATGGCACAAATGTGAGCTGACGCTGGGATGTATTTATCTTGAACGAAGTTTATACAAAAGTAAATGGTTTGACCCCGGGAGTATCGTTACATGTTTGTAAATGATGATCGTCCAGGTTAATAAAGTCCTGAGAAGGACAGTTTTTGTTGTTGTCGACTGACGTTTCGACAACCTTAGCGGTAGTCATCTTCAGAGTCAAATGAGGAGTAAACGTCAGGTTAATCGTATTTGTTATCTGGTTCTTACGTCATTGTATTGTGTGTACAGGAAACGTGTATTGTCATTGTGAATTTGTGTGAAGGGAAATATTTTATTTTTAGTTGTGATGTGTGATTTAGTTGTAATGTTTTTATTTGTAATGTGTGGGTGTCAATTGTGTATTGTCAGGGGGGATCTAGAGTATGTCAAATCCGTTTCGCGACTGATGTTTGAAATTCAAAAATTACCTATTCATATTAATTAAAAATTCATTAATTATTCTTACTTTATTATCGCATTTACATCGTGATCTTAAGCTACAAAACGTCTTAAGCTACAAAACGTCAAGTCTTAAGCTACAAAACGTCAAGCAATGTCGAAAGAAAGTCTTTTTAACTTTCTGTAGGTGCATGGGATGGTTTTATCCTAGAACAAGATAGTAAAAAAAATCAGGAATTTGCTGTTACCATGTTAAACACTTCTCGTGGCCATTAATTGCTTGTAATTGAGCTTTTTCAATACTCGGATATTTTATGTATACTAATTATTTTTTATACACTTGCAAAAAGTAAATGATAGCAGAATGACATATTTTTGAAATTTTTTCTACTTGACATTTTGAAAACAATTGAATTTTTGTATAACACACCTTATAATAATAATCACTTTTTTGAATCTTTAAGAGAATGATATCCATTGTCATTGTCTACCCTTGCATCAATAGCTTTAAATGTTAAAAGTGATGAACATCAAGTGCACTCCATGACAGTTTCGTACTTTGTCGATGATCGACTGAACCTATTGATGCTTGAATTGCTTACAAGTTTATTTATTGTACACAAAATAATAAAAACAATAAAAAAATGTGATAAACATGATTACAATTTTGCAAGTTGATTATACAACTAAGTTTAAAATTATTAAGAAAAATCAGTAAGTGCATACAAATTTATTTAGAAAATTATAACTTCATTAAATACACACAAGGTCCATCGCGAACAATGTATTTCTTGAGGAGGTAAATGAACTAGTGCTTGATTATCAAGTGATATAAGTGCCATTTAGAATATTAAATTTCGAGGCTTATTAAGCTCTCAGCACCCAAAGCTTATTTTAATAATGATATTGTGATTGAACGTCCTGGTCTAGCGATAAACTGGGAATGTAGTAAGGATTTTCAGAAGCGGATGTGGAAATAAAAGACATTTGGCCTGCATTTGTGTTATTGTGAGGTGGATTGGACGGTATAACATTTGATTGATTATCATCAGGTACAAAATATAAAACTCCACGCTTTGCCATAGCAAATGGCGCATTGCTATCAACTGGTGGTGATTTACTTTCACTTTTAAAATCTGGTGGTGGTGGTAAGACAGTCGTCTTCTTTTGTTCACCGTCTGAATAGGCTGGATTCTGATAACTGTCAGAGGAAGTTGTGGAAGATGTTTTCTGCTTGTTTTTATGGCGTATATACCAAATGATGAAAATTCCGTTCATGATTATCAGAAGAGCGATTGCAACAGATGCAATAATGACACCAGCATTTTCATTCGAAGAGGATTTACTGCTGTCTGGAAATTGATCGTTGAGAACACAAAAAAATTAGTACTTAAGGGAAAGTGTCCTACATAAGTTGTATATAAACTGCTCAAAACTACACGCTTGTTTGCAATTAAATTAGTATCATTAACGTCAAATAAAAATTTTAGTACATGCATTTTTGCACACACTAGGACACATGGCTTTAGAGTACTGTCTTTAAGTAAGCATCATTCTTTGCTATTTACATATATTTGCAAATAGATGATCTGTGTATTATGGCTAAATTATTATGGCACATACGACATCTTAAACTAACCATTGCAAGCTCCAGAAGTAAACGAAAATTTGTATACATTTATTTCACCATTGCTATATGCCTCAAAAACACCTTCGATAATTAGCTACAAGAAAACAGAAAAAAAAGCATATTAAGATTACAATATGCAATTTCCAATTTAACTAAGAAAGGTTCCAAATATGTTTTAAAAAATTACCCTGTAAAGTAAATTGTACTCCAGCTTTGGCATCGTAACTTCAGCGTCATGCCAAACTGATGTTTTACTTTTGCTTTGTGACCAACGCAATATTTTCACTCTTCCTAAAGCTTGCTGGTAGACTTGTAATACTTTTTGTCCATTTGTGCCATGTATGCGATAGGAGAACTTGAAACACTCACTGGAATTACTAAAATATTCACTCACAAACCAGGCCTTTTTCTTTGTTGTTTCCGATGGCCATTTTACATATGCATATCCTCCTCCTAATTAGGATTTTTAATTATTTAGTTAAAAACGAAACCTACACGAAATTGATTGTAAATTTAAAAAATACAAAATAGTAATGAAAGAACTCTTCAAATTTAACAACAGAGTACAAGTTGAGATTTTTATAAGGTGATATTTGATAAGGAGAAAGCCCAAATACAAAATATCCGATGATGGAAATCGAGAGCAAGTCATATTAGTAATCATAAAGATCGAGTAAGGTAGCCACAATTTAATATTATATTTTATATTATAAAATCGAACGGCTCTTATCCAAACCATAGTTACTTAGTTAAAATAAATTTTTTATCCTTTTACCATTAAATATCTTAATGTCGTATATATTGGGAGCTTAAGCCTTCTCTAAAATTGTTTTCTAAAGTAAATGATGAAGTTTACCGTTAGAAACCCAAGTAAAGCACGTGACAACTTTGTTGGTAGGCATGTTTTTGCTAATTATTATTGGGAGAATCATAATTCTACTCTATTGCACAGCAAAAAAGCATACTCCGAATAAAAGGTCCATGCGTAACTCAATATTTTAGAAACAAACAAGACACTTTTTTGACAAAGTAATATTTTCATTTATTGCATCACAGTAACAGGGCCGAAACTTGGGTATAAACTTTGGAGGGTGACGGACTATTTTACCGGACATGAAGGTCGTGGCCATAGAATTGCCCGATGGATTTTTACAACTCTTAAAGGTAATTTACTGGACAGATATAGACGGATAAAGTTTAATACGAAATGATAAAATGCAATATAAAAATCCAATTACATTTGGTAGTTGCTATTTTCTTTTGTATGTAGGAGTCAGTGAACAGTTTCTTCAATTTTCACTTGCATAGTTTGATGATCAATAAGCTAATAAAATATAGCTTTATGGCGCTAAAGATCATGGTTATACAACATATTTCCTTTCACAATAACGAGTTATGACATCATGCATGCACTTTTTATAATTGTTTATAATCATGATAATGCAATTTCAACTTAATTTTGAGTTTTTCAAAATTTTTTGCGATGCCCATTTGTTAACAAATTACTATGATTCCGGACAAATTGCTGTAAAACATGTAGCTAGTTGCTTATTAGTTTTATCAGAAATTATTATCTTCCCACAATGAAGCTATATTAAAGTCAGTTTTGCAAACAAATTTTTCCACTTTTTTTTACTCCACAATTAATTAGAAATTTTATAAAATTATATATATCTAAAAGCTTGCACTATTCTAATTTTACTTAAAGAAGGTGTCTTTACGTGGTGCAGTGCGAGAATCTTGCTTGTTATATTTGCAGGTTGAAAACGTATTATTCTCTAATTTCTCATTTAGCTATATGTTTGTGTAACAGTATTTATCTCGCGGATAAGGCTCACATTGAATTTTCTAAATTACGCTTATATACTTTATACTGTCCATTTATTCCAATTAGGGATATTATTCAACAATGTATGCATAAGTTTATAATTCATTACAAGTAAATAAAACTAATTATACGTTGATGTAAACTACAGCATAATTTCCGCGACATAAACTAATTTAGGTTCAATCCAGGTACAAATGGACTCATGTATGTCTTTTTTAAAGTGTAAAAACTATTAATACATGTTTGATTTCAGTTTAATTCATTCTACTTCTTAATATTTGTTGAGTTCAACCCAGGTTAAAGCAAGGTTTTAGTGTTCAGTATATGCGCGTTTGAATTGGACTTAGGAAATGAATTGTAGATGGTAACAACACGGACTAATTAACATGGACAGTAATGTGAATAAAATTATACAAACATATACCAGACAAAAGAATTTAATATTACAAATAACGATAAACTGGCGCTATTGTCTACTTTTGTTGAGCTTACAAAACAACTACTTTCCTCAGTGAAAATGAAACGGAGTCTCCACATATCATTTTGACACATCACGGAATTGCCAAATATTTCTTAACGCTTTATCTTAAAAATTTGCAATGGTTGTTATCAGAGTTGATATATACGAATACAAAATCCTACCCGATGTACTTTTTAAAATTAGGGAACAACATATCATTTTAATTATTATGTCTTATGTTTTCTGTCATGCAGTGCATCAGATTCTATTTTTATCTCATTTTCTAAAATCTGACCAATAAGTTCTTTTAACTTACCGACTATAGAGATGAAAGATTGGAAAAATTGTGGAGGTGTGTATCAGCCTCCCCCCCCCCCAGAAGTTTCGGCCTGCACAGTAATATTTCAAATTTATTGCCTCACAAATCTGATGATGAATTTGGAATAAATTCGAAATTTTATTATATAAACAAAAATTTCTGGGTGATTCTCAAATTTTAGTTAAACATAGACCTTTCATTCAAAGTATGTTTCTTGTCATAATTCTATTACAAACAAACATGGCTGCCGAGCCTTCAATCTTCTGTTTGAGTTAGCTTCCTGGGGGCGGTTGTTCAAAATCCGGTTAACGCGAACCCAGAGTTAACTATACTTAACCAAGGGTTAAATTTTAACCCTTGGTTAGTTGCGGTTCTCGAATCTATGTTATTTTAAACCCTCGGTTAAAACAAGGGGTTACTTAAATCCTCCTCACTAGGTGGGTAAAATTACTTAACTCTTAGTTAACATATTATTTTCGTAAATAAAACAACTCATGACAGAATTTGCTCTCCTTTCCCGTGTAAATTAGCGTCGTTGCAAAAGATATCGTCTACGAAGACAAAATACTAAAGGTTTTTGCGAGAGTGAGCATGAACTAAATTCGGCAGAAACGAAATACATTGTATAACAATTCCGCTTCTTTAAGATTTTTAGTTAGGATACGCAGCGAAGCTGTGCACTTCTGTCATCTACAACAATTCGTAATTACATTGAGGTTCTTTGCTAAGGACAGTTTCGAACAAGTTGTGCGAGATAACCGGCGAGACCAGTGTGGAACGATGCGAGCTTTATCACTGGCATTGAATAGAACTACGAATCACTTTTAAAATTGGCCATCTTTGATTGACGAAAAACTGCGTAATCGATAAAATAAAAACAATTTTTTTTGCAAGCTGACTTTCAGTGTGTGATTGGTTGTGTTGAATGAATTGACATTGTTAATTAACCTGATTTGGATTTGTGCGCTTTTTAAACCAAGGTTAAATGTCTTAACCCAGGGTTAGTTAACTCAACGCTTAACTAAGAAGCAGAATACCAGTAGGCTAAGTAGGCTTAAGCCTAAAGGCCCGGGCTTTCAAAAGGCCCATTGTATCTTTATAAAATCAGGATCTGCAGGTTTTTGCTATCCCGGGCTACCTAAATGTGCTTAACTTAGATCATTTATCCTGTTGAAAACCTTACGAGCAGTCAAATGCAGAGGAAAATGGTTTTTGTATTATCTACTATTGAAATGCGCAATGCTCATTTCATCATTCCCGGTTTACCTGATCATGTCCCCATTTTTTACCCTATGGGGTTACAAGCAGGAAACGTAAAAGCAAGCGAAAACTGAACTTAATGGAGGAATCTATATCAATTACAGGCCTACAACTTTCCTTTAATCTACAGGCCACATACTATACAACGCAAGCTCGATAATTATTCGTATGTTTTACTCTTTGTTAATCCTTAAGCACAATTTATTTCAATAGAAGCTACTAAGGTAGAACATGCATATATGAATATTTACCTTCCCCAATTATCGAGCTTGCGCTGCCTCTGACATAATAAACAATCCGCCATTGGCTTAATCCTGCTTTTAACAATACAATTTTAACCCTTGTTTAGCTAACCTTAGGTTAATGATTTTAGCCCTAGCTTAGTTGCTAACTCTAGGTTAAGTTAACTGGCTTTTGAACAATCGCCCGCTGACGATAAACTTCATTGTTTTTTCATTTAGAAGGCTAAAGTTGCCACAAAATACAACTTTAAGATATTAAAGATGAAGTAAACAAAAATGAAATAAAATGAAATAAACTACAATGAGAAAAATCGTTCTCTTTTTGATATAAAAAATGGAAACAACAAGAAATGCATAAAACAACGAATCAAGAACAACTGTAGCAACCTTTTCTTATGAATACTGGTATGATTCTATTCTTTTAGATTACTCGCACTCGATTTCAATTAGGCAATAGTTAGTTTGGGCATCGCTCTTGTCTACCATCACCTCATAGCTCGAGCTCGTAATCTAATTCGTAAATAAATAGCTAATAAAGTAGCTATCCAAATGAAATTTCCATAAAAATACTAATATGATTTTCCATTAAAATACAATATATAGTACAACCGTGTTGTATTAAGATTTGGATTAATAGTAAACAGATGTAGTTGCTTACTAGTGGAAGTTAAGTTCACTCTCCAATGATAGTCGTCATAGCTATTTCCATCTGACAATACGTTTCCCCATGGACAGTTGCGGGTCCAAAATCTACTAAGAAAATTACAGCCTTGGGCTGCTTTAAATGAAGAAACAATTAATATCTAAGACAAAGAAAGTGGATACTTATATAATTGCTAATATTGGTATCAATTGTTCTGCAGTTGGCTGTTTGCAGCATCAGAAAATCAAAACAAGTAATGGTGACGTTTGACAAACATGACATATTGTCTAGGACGTCGTGAAAATGGCGTTCGAATAGCGTGATATTTTCATATATGGAGTGTTTGCATGTGACGTCAAAGCGGCAATGTTGGGGATACATAAAAGCTTATGGCCGGTAATTAAAAAACATACATGTAATAAACATAGATTGCTGACGTATATACAAGTTATACATAGCCGGCCGTAGCAAATTGAACATTCCAAGATGGCGGTTCAAGCAGGCAAAAAACTATAATTTGTATTACGAAAATAAGGTTTTTCGCATTTTCTGTCGTTCTACCCCTTCCATCCAAGTTCTGACCACTTTTTTGGGGAATGGGAGGACATTGCAGAGTTTTTGGATGTAAACTTGGATGCATCAAATGAATAAAACGACAAATATTGCTTCGTCAAATCTTTATCGAGTTGTCACCTGAGTCCAAAGATAGTAATTTTGTTGAGTCTTGTCTTATGTAAGGTCGAAATATTAATGTTTCCTGGTTGAATTTCTCATTTAATTGGTATTATTCACTAAAAAGGGCAGAAACAGCCGAAGACCTTATTAGTGAAAACACTTTAAGCTGAGGAGTCTGCCTGTTGCTTTTTACTACCTAAAGAGATGGACATGTCAAATGTATATTATTTTGAAACTACTTATTGTATGTACATAGTAGTGAAGCAGGTTGAATTATTATTTATTTTCCAAAGTTAAGGTAAGTTTGGTCAACTGCCACATGTATTGACTCTTGGATGGTTTTTATGTTTGTCTGGGACTAGACTCTTGATGTTTGACACAATATACTAATCTCACAGAAGAAGATAAATAATAATAAATGAGAATAAATGATCTGGATTCGGCTAAAATGCTTTTCAATTGATTTGGTAAATATTTACGAGACAAATTGTCATGACTAGTTTTGTGTGCATGTTGGGGACACTTACGTTTCAAGTTTTTTGGTTCATATGTTAATCAAGGCATGGTTTAAAAGCATTAATACAAGTTGTTGCAAGAAATGTTGCAGCCATGACATGCTGGGGCAAATGGAGTTCTTACTGTTTCATTACTCATAACGACAAACCACACTCATTACTGTGGCCTATGTGTGTGTGTGTAATACTTGTAATAATGTTGCCATGATATGAAAGAGTAAACTACATAACTGTAAATACGTTATTTTGTGTAAAATATTTATATTTTATTTGAAACTTAAAAGTCTGGTCGATTTTGCTCCAGTCGTTCAATGTAATATAAAAAAACATACTTAAAGTAGTCACTGCATCTATGAGACACTGCTTATTTGCTCTTTTGGTTTTGCCGTTTATCATAAATCACCTAACAGAAGTTCAGATTAAACCAAACTCGGTATTCCCCACACATTAATGTTCGATTTGATTCAAGTGACCACTTGGTAAAAAATTTGACGAAGCGATATTTGTCGCATTACTCGTATGATGCATCCAAATTTACGAACAGAAACTCCGCAATGTCATCCCATTTCCGAAAAAAGTGGCTAGAACGTCGATGAAAGAGGTACAACGACGGGAAATGCGAAAAATATCATTTTCGTAATACAAATTATAAATCTTTTGCCCGCTTGAGCCGCCATCTTGGAATGTTCAATTTGCTACGACCGATGTGCGTTAGCAATTGTGGTTCCATTAAATCTATGTCAAAAGAGTATGAAATTAGCATAAATTCTTTTCGCTGAATGGTATTTTCCCTCAACATGGCGACTGATGAAAACACTCTGAAGGGTGAAGCCCTTCTTAAAATTACGTGCACTACTGGTGCACTATAATTAAAGCATTGCGTATAATTCAATCATTTCATACTTCAGAAAAGCTGCAGTAGTTGGCAAACTTAAAGCAATCAAGATTATGCACCAGGGTTTGTTGTTTAAAATCGTGTTTTTGATATTGTAATTTTAATTTGAAAGTCTGATTTCTTAACTGGGCAAAAAATACTTACATATTTGCAATGTCTTCCATGTTGTGCTCCCCGGCATCTGAGTAGTTTGCTTAGGGTTCCGAGAAATCGGCAAGAAGGTCGTAGTAGTATCCCAAAGGTTCTGAGTAGTAGGCGAAGGGCTCCGAGTTGTAAGCGATGAAATTCGAATGGTAATCAAGGGGTTACGAGTAGTAGACGATGATGTCCGAGTAGTAGACGAGGGGTTACGTGTAGTAGACGAGGGATTCTGAGTAGTAGACAAGGGGTTTCGAGTAGTAGACGAGGGGTTTCGAGTAGTAGACGAGAGTTTCCAAATAGTTGACAAGGGCTTTTGGGTTGTCTGCTGCGTGTTTCTTGTTGTTGTGTCCAGGGAATAATACTGAGGTGTAGTCGAACTTACTTGACAATCAATAAATCGCAAGTCATCCACTGCAATAGTGTCTGAATACGTAAAACCGACGATTCCTTCAATAATTATCTGTAAGAAGTTTGTAGACAAAAAGAATATATATATTGAACAATTTTAAACGCATTTTTATTGGTTTCCTTTACGTCATGATGCAACGTGTTTAAGGTTTATTTGTATGATTTGTATGTTATTTTCTGTAATTGACTACTGTCCAAAATTCCAAAATACGCAATTTTACAGACAGATGTAAACAAACTTCTTAAACAAACTTCATTTCAGGTCAAATAAAGCCCCATAATACACCTTTTAATAATTAGGCCAGTTCTGTCTTTACTGAGGAATATCACACAGTAGAAACCATAACCCCTTGTACAAACCTAAATCTAGAGCATTATTCACAGGCTAATTCAATATAGTTTTTAAATTTTGCTTACAACGGGAGAATTTCCCGCCATAAGTGGACATAACATTTTTAGGAGGAGTCTTAAACCTATGAATGCGGAATTTTTCTGATCAAACGCTTAATGATACATTTTTCTTTCTAGTGGCGTTGCTAACGCAATAGCTGGGGTGGGAGTTTAATTCATGTATACATGATACGTCGAATTAATTAATTTCCTTTCAAATCTATTGTATTTTATAGATTATAGCATGCAAATATCAATATGTGACCCCCAAAGTTATCGCGTTGGTGATGCCACTGCTTCACTCTTTGAAATGAATTTTTCATAACTTCAATCGTTGGTAATGGCTGTCTAGACTTCTAAGAAACAAGTCAAACGATGTTGTTAAAAAACTTTACCGGTAAAGTCTCATAACGCATGAGCACTGTTCACACGATGCTGATGTAGATTTGCTTCATTTTGGTGTAATGTTCACACTACACAAGATTGACGCCGGCTTTAAGTTAATTTGAGTTTTCTTTTCAAGAAGTCGAGGAACGTTTGCTGACCATATTGATCACGGTTAGACTCCAATATTTTACCACGCCATTTTTGACGCTGATTGAAGTTTATCGAAGTGTAATAAAAATTTCTTGTTTCGGTGTTTGTGCATAGCCAAAACGGTATAATTTCGTACAGTTTTCAAATTGTCACGGATAGTTATACCGTTTTCAAACTTTAACGGTTAGCGTTACAGTTTCACATTTTTCATGCCGTCATCATGTAAACTCGATCCCAAACCTCAAGAGTTAAGCATGTTGAGCGTACATTTCTATGAGTAGCAGGAATTTTCTTAAATAGTGTACCCATTGTTGCTCGAAACACTTTCGCTTTATTTTAGGCTATTTGTGCATAATGCTGCTCACTAGTTTAAGTTTGGTCAATGAAATCCCCTTTATCCGTAAATCTTGGCTCAATTACAGAAGTCGCCATTAATATATTGTGTCAATTTGGAGGTTTTGTTGGCTATAAATTCATTGTACATTTTCAGCTACTTCAAAATTAAAGAAGTGGTAATTTTTGTGTGTTTTGCGAGTATATTTAATAACTATATTTATATATTTGGTTTTATTGCTAGCTAACCTTTTGGCTAATACTGGCATTAGAGATCAAAATGCGAGCCTGACGCCAATTGTAGCCACTGTAGCCACTCATCACAAAAAGTTGTATCTTTGCTCCATTAACTGTTTCTTGGTAAACGTATAGAGATGATCCAGAATAATAGGCAGAATAAATGTAATAGTAAAAAAGGAGACATTTTGTAGAGCCTTTGAAGTACTGACTGACCAACCGTGCTTTTTCTCCATTTCTGCCCTTTATGTACATGTATTTACCTAAAAAATATCCGTGTTGATCAGACACAATACAATACTTTGGTACTTAAATGTATTTTTGATTGTAGTATTTTAGATTATCAACTAGCCTTGTGAAACCGTATATATTTACGTCACGTTTAGTGAAATAGACTTCAAAGGTTAGTAGCTCACATTTTTCTTATTGTGTAAATGAAACGTCGGCGCCGATTGTCAAATGATACCGATGGAACCTTTGGAAGAACTTGAAATTAGGTTTGCATCTGCTCGTTCAATTGTTTGTATTTTATAAAACTCTATGATGCACGAAAGCTTCAGTCTCGTAAAATCTCGCAGATTGCTTGGCTCGCCGTGAAAAATGATATAGTTGATTAATAGAAAATTTTTTAACCTTAAGAGATATTTGGCTTTAAACATGTGGGGATGTGGGGTATTTCTTAATCATGGCCAAGAGAAAAGAGTCTGACTAAGTGCATTATTTTGTCGTACAAGGCACGAAAGTAAATCAATCAATAATTGTATGATTATTTATAAGTTGGGAGGTAAGTAATGGAAAAATATTTTCACGAGGTCTCAAAAAGGGCCTCATGTCAAGATATCGTAAAATGCTGCATCCAATCAGATTGCAAGATATCAAGAAGTATCACTAGGCATGCATAAATAAAAAATAAAAATTTGTATTAGATTATCGCAAGAAATTTCTTAAACTCGAAATATCTGGAATCTTTTGAGAACATGTCGACTAAAATGAATCGTAAAGGCGCAAGTCATCAGAGCGGCGAAGTCATCCAAATTCAAATATCGAAGCGTTAATACGTTTTGAGCAGAGAGAAATGTATTAATGTACTCTAAATCGACGTAACATATCACATAAGACAATGATAATGTTGTTGCAATCTTTCGATGTTCAAACTGTGCATTGATTTGAACCAAAGTTCTTACGATGAATGGGTAGATATACAATGAGTAAAGGAAAACTTCAAGAAATTACAAGCTTGCGCTAGAACTAAGACAAACTATAGTCTAGACGATTTAACTTAAGACAGTGAATTTATGTATAAAGATTCGATCAGTAGTGTGTGCTTGAAATGCATAATTTTAATAAAATTCAATTCAAAAACATAAAGAATATAATGTGTAGAATTCAAAGAGACTAACGAGCTGATTACATGAGCCCGGGTAGCCGGGAGTCACCCAATCATTAATTGGTTTTGGCAAATGGAAACAATTAATTACTTGTCATCAAACAAATCTTCTCGAGCAATAAAAATCTAAAGTAATTTATAGTGATCAGTTGACTTTCGTGCCTTGTATGACATCACAATGTGCTTTCATGCTCAGACCCTTTTCTCCCGGCCATGATTTCAAAAAACTTATATTTTCGCATGTTCGGAGCTAACACATATTTCTTAAAGTTCAAAAAGTTTTCCATCAATCAACTATATCTTTCAAAATGTTCTTTTCACTACCTATTATTGGTAAAAAAAGTTGCAATTATGTCATACACTTTAAATGACGACCAATATATCTGACAATGATAATAATAGCAGCAAAATGATGCTACGAAATTAGGAAATACCACCACAACATTTGATTGTTATTGACACATAGACTATTAAGAAATAAGAAGAAAATTTAACTTTGCTTAGAAAGTTATGATATGTAATTTCTTTATCGAAAAGTGCAAATAGTTAAAGCAATAATAACCAACATTGACGAAATTTGTGCTATGTTCAAGTTATGGGCTCTTGGCTTATATACATACAATAGATAGTATGTAAACGCTTATTCCATTTTCAGTGAAAAATACAATATAGACTCCTGAACGGAACTTCCATGCATAAGATCAATAAACTTGTAATTGCCTGCTGTCAAACAGTTTTAGTAGATTTCATCTTTGTTTCAAAATCAAAAGATTTATGGGATGGTAAAAGCTGATATGTACTTATTTCTATATGAAAGGGTTTTCAGGATTTTCAAATTTATTGATGATTGTGATTGTTGTTCTACAATTAAGCCTAGTCGTCAATTTAACAAAAATGTTTATATAGGTGGTTATAACATTTATGTACGCAAATATGGTGTCATGGCGTGCATGTTACCTTCCCTTGATCCCTTGGAGTTCCAATATGGTAGAGAGGTACTCCATCTTACATTTCCGCTGATGATTGCCCAGTCAAAATTGTCAGATCCCTGCGTGTTCTTCCAAGGACAATCAACTGTACCAAAGCCTTTCTCAAAATTGCAACCTGTTCGAGAATGACACTATGTGTAAGTCTGTGAATTGAGATAATTGATTTAGTCTTATATTTTTCTCGCATAGGATTCGTCTCAAAATAGTTGACCCAATGAATCACTTAGAATATTTTTAATGGTTCTTACTTTCCTAAAATCAAAGACAAATATATATGACTTTTGCATCCTAAAAATATTAACATAAACTACTCTCTACGTCCGCAAGATTCACACTCTTATTGTCCTTACCCGAAGAATGATAAGTATAAACAATAATAAATTACTAATTAACAATCCAAAACATACACAATAAGAAAATTGTGAGCTACTAACCTTTAAAGTCTATTTCACTAAACGTAACGTGAGTATAAACGGTTTCACAATATCCTGGAGTTAAGGCAAGATTATCTATCGCTATGTCACTTGTAAATGATGATCCACGAACACCTTCTATTATCAACTATAGATTAAGAAATAGAGATCAATTTGCACATTTAGCAATTTGTGATGTTCTCAAATGACAGTAATATTGATGACTTGGTGTCGTAGTATCCCAGATTTAGACTCTAGTAAGGTGGCTTGCTTGTATAACTCACAATTTCATTTATCAATACAATAACATTGCATTGACTGCAAAACTTTGTTTCTTATACAAAAGCTTTGATCCCGATTTCACAAAAATGTTGTCATGATACAAATTTAGTCAATAGTTATGAGAAACTTTATTAACGCAATACAAAATAAAACTAATCTTAGTGCACCAAAGCAATAATTGCAATGCGCAATCAGAGTTTGCTCAATGCGACATGTGATAGTAATCATATAACGTTACTGTTAAGTGAAAACAAAGGGCGTGTGGGAGTGCCTTGTGATGAGAATGTGTAATGAATTTGTTTACCAATAAACATATAATGAACAAAAGGCTTTGTGCTGGTTGAAGATGTACGTTGCAGGCTTCATTTGCATTCCGACATGTAGCAAAAAGGAAACGGTGACTCGATGGTTAGTAGTTCGCCTAGTAATACTTCTGTAATAAAGACTGGTGGCTCAAAATATTAACACGTTGAATATAACATATTCAATTTTTAATAAGCAGCTCAAAACATTTAGTTATTGATTTATTACACACAAAAATGTAAATATATATTCCTGCATTGGTAGCAAGTGACTTGTCAATGTTAGCAAACATACGTTAGGACTCTCTCCCCCCGATATAATTTTTCGTTCCCAGTCTTCTACGATTAACTTTCACATCGCATAGAACAAAATTTGATTGTGCATTGCGATTATTAGTTTTGAGCACTGGAATCAGAAATTTATTACCAGTAAGTTTGTTGTAAATTGTGTGAATCGATAATCTGTTTTCCGTAATTGCTCGAATTCAGAAACGTAAATTTTGCTCGGTTAAGAATTTTTTTTGTTATCAGTAAGACAAACATTTTATTTAATCCATTTAATTATTAAAAAAAAATTTTGTTCTCACAGCACAAACAATTTATATTTAATACATATTCGTTGATAGCTTCTTTGTTTGCAACTTCACAACTTTCTCATATTCGTCCACCGTTATGATTACAGAGATCATGGTTATGTAGTATCAATTTGACTCTCTACAATCAACCTACAATATTCTTGTCAGTTTCACACTTTAACTTACAAATGAGGTGCTTTTTTAACGTTCTTGAGATGTTAAAGAAACGTTCATTTCATCCTTTGTTGCAAACTAGCCTTTGCACGGAGTTAAGTTAACACCAAGATTGGCGCTAAATCAACACTTGTAATTTAGCACTCCTGCAATATGTCAAATTCACATATAGAAGGTGCTAAATTAATACCCGAAATAATCAGTGTTTAATATCGCGTCGTAAAGTTTTTCTCATTTACAAATTGCTGTTGACGTCTCGCACACCTAACAAATTCTATGCACTCTATGTATTGTGTAGACTCATTTGCTTGGAAGGCTTTTAGGTTGAATGATGAGTAAGGCAAAAATGACAGTTAAGAGTAGAAACAATACTTACTCTAGATGGGAAAGAAGTAAAGTTTGCTGTAACTTGACTATACCACCATTGGTTACCTTGGTTGCCACTCAATGACCACAACAATGACTTTTTTACATTGTACTCTAAGTAAATATTTAATGTACCCATTCCAGCTCCATACATGTGATAACCGAAAGAAAAGCACGTGAGTGAGCTCGTAAGATTATTCCCGACCAACCAAGCTTTATCACCAATTAGTTGAGGAGATGCTTCAGTGTAGAGATATTTTCCTATTCAACAAAAAGAAAGAAGTTTGACAAGTTCTTCCCTTATAATCATTGTGCAGCTTCTCGAATTTGTTTCCTATTTTCCATGCATAGAAAAAAAATCCTCCACACGCTTACCAGACGTTGATCCTATAATATCATGGTTTGGACCTGTGTCCGAAGTAGATGTTGTTCCAGAATTAATCGACCAATTAAAATCATCTTCTAAATTTACGTTGCTCCAAGGACAAACACTCGTTTGCAAGCCACCATCAAAACTGCAGCTTTCTAAGGAAGGGGCAGAAAATCTGAACACTCTGAATATATTGATATGTGGTCAACAATGTACACATAACATTTTGAGAGGATTTGCACACCCTGTTGAGGAGTGTTGATAAGTATTGAGCACTGTTAACTGTTATATGTTTGTAAATGATGATCGTCAATGTTAATAAAGTCCTGAGAAGGACTGTTTTTGTTGTTGTTGACTGACGTTTCGACAACCTTAGCTGTAGTCATCTTCAGAGTCAAATGAGGAGTAAACGTCAGGTTAGCCGTATTTGTTATCTGGTTCTTACGTCATTGTATTGTGTGTACACGAAATGTGTATTGTCATTGTGGATTAGTGTGAAGTGAAATATTTTATTTTTAGTTGTGATGTGTGATTTAGGTGTGACGTTTTCAGTTGTAATGTGTGGGTGTCAATTGTGTATTGTCATTGTGAATTAGTTTGAAGTGTAATGTTTTTAGTTGATCGTTTGTTTGTATTGTGAATAAGTCGTTTGTAAGGTGCCGGTAATTGCTGTGATCTGTTCAGGGGGGTTTGTTCCAAGTTGGTATACCAACTTTCTAATGTAAGCCGTTGTCTATAGTCAGTACTGTAAGTGATGCATTTTGCCGAGTCCCAGTCAATGTTGTGCTTTGTGATTCGGTGATGTTCGGCGATGTGATTAGTTTTGTCTTGTTTCTTAGTAGCTCGTTTGTGTTCAGTAAGTCTTATGTTTAAGTTCCTGCCAGTTTCCCCGATATAGGAGGCGTGGCAGTCGGAGCAGTTTATTTTGGAAACTGCACCTTGTCGTTCGTTGGGTTGTTCTTTGTCCTTTATGTTCGTTAGTACTTGTCGTAAAGTTGTGATTGGTTTATGTGCGACACGTATGTTGTATGGTCGTAAGATACGCGAGATAGTCTCAGACGTACCTTTGATGTAAGGTATCGTTGCTGTTGTCACTGAGTTGTTCGTTTCGTTGGGTTCGTTGGTTTTGTAAGTGTTGCGTTTGATAAAGTCAGAGTTATAGTTGTTTTCGTCAAAAACACGTTTGAGTTAGTTGTTTTCGTTTTGTAGAGCGTCCGGTGAATCACATATGATTTGTGCACGTCTTGTTAATGTTCTGATTGTGGTGGCTTTGTGTGATGTAGGGTTGTAAGATGATTGGTCTAGTAGTCGGTCAGTATGTGTTGGCTTGCGATAAACTGTTTTTCCTAGTTTTTGATTGTCATGTTTTCCCAAACAGTCGAGAAAAGGAAGAGTTCCGTTTTCTTCGACATCTTTGGTAAATTGTATGTGGCTGTTCTGTTTGTTGATGTGAGTATGGAAGTCATCAATCTCGTCTGCATGTAGTGCTGTGATTGTGTCATCTACGTAGCGAAACCAAAAAGGTAGTGCATGTTTGTAAGTCATGAACGCCCGTTCCTCTGTAGATTGCATTACAATTTCAGCAACTACAACAGAAACGGGCGAGCCCATTGCTGTCCCATGTAATTGTTTGTAGTGTGTTCCTTTGTATTGGAAGTAACTCGAGGTGAGGCAGAGCTTTAGTAACTCCATAATGTCTTCTGTCGGTAAGGGCAGTACGTCCGTGGTGTGTGTAATGAAGGTTTTTGTACAAGTAAGTGCCAGATTAAGTGGAATACTGGTGAACAATGACGCAGGACGCGTGACTGTGGTCATGGACAGGAATGATTACCTTAACAAAATGGACACCCTTGTTAACGACAGACAAACGTACGAACAACTCAAACGAGACCCAACACCATCACTAGTGCGCAAACTTAACAGCAAGATCTTCTCTATGAGAAAATCTAACATTATATCTGAACGTATTTACTATCGACTCAGATGTTCAGTACCACGACCACCCAGAGTATACGGACTACCAAAACTTCACAAACCACAAATACCCATGCGACCAATTGTATCATTCTGTGATTCGCCTACTTACGAACGTTCAAAGTACTTGACTAACATACTGCTACCACTTACAAACAAATCAAAACACAAGCTACAATCCACTGAAACTTTCATTAAAAAATTGTGCACTATACAAACACCGGACAACTATATGCTAGTGTCTTTTGATGTGAAATCACTGTTCACCAGTATTCCACTTAATCTAGCACTCAATTGTACAAAAACCTTCATTACAAACACCACGGACGTACTGCCCTTACCGACAGAAGACATTATGGAGTTACTAAAGCTCTGCCTCACCTCGACTTACTTCCAATACAAAGGGACACACTACAAGCAATTACATGGGACAGCAATGGGCTCGCCCGTTTCTGTTGTAGTTGCTGAAATTGTAATGCAATCTATAGAGGAACGGGCGCTCATGACTTACAAACATGCACTACCTTTTTGGTTTCGCTACGTAGATGACACAATCACAGCACTACATGCAGACGAGATTGATGACTTCCATACTCACATCAACAAACAGAACAGCCACATACAATTTACCAAAGATGTCGAAGAAAACGGAACTCTTCCTTTTCTCGACTGTTTGGTAAAACATGACAATCAAAAACTAGGAAAAACAGTTTATCGCAAGCCAACACATACTGACCGATTACTAGACCAATCATCTTACAACCCTACATCACACAAAGCCACCACAATCAGAACATTAACAAGACGTGCACAAATCATATGTGATTCACCGGACGCTCTACAAAACGAAAACAACTAACTCAAACGTGTTTTTGACAAAAACAACTATAACTCTGACTTTATCAAACGCAACACTTACAAAACCAACGAACCCAACGAAACGAACAACTCAGTGACAACAGCAACGATACCTTACATCAAAGGTACGTCTGAGACTATCTCGCGTATCTTACGACCATACAACATACGTGTCGCACATAAACCAATCACAACTTTACGACAAGTACTAACGAACATAAAGGACAAAGAACAACCCAACGAACGACAAGGTGCAGTTTCCAAAATAAACTGCTCCGACTGCCACGCCTCCTATATCGGGGAAACTGGCAGGAACTTAAACATAAGACTTACTGAACACAAACGAGCTACTAAGAAACAAGACAAAACTAATCACATCGCCGAACATCACCGAATCACAAAGCACAACATTGACTGGGACTCGGCAAAATGCATCACTTACAGTACTGACTATAGACAACGGCTTACATTAGAAAGTTGGTATACCAACTTGGAACAAACCCCCCTGAACAGATCACAGCAATTACCGGCACCTTACAAACGACTTATTCCCAATACAAACAAACGATCAACTAAAAACATTACACTTCAAACTAATTCACAATGACAATACACAATTGACACCCACACATTACAACTGAAAACGTCACACCTAAATCACACATCACAACTAAAAATAAAATATTTCACTTCACACTAATCCACAATGACAATACACATTTCGTGTACACACAATACAATGACGTAAGAACCAGATAACAAATACGGCTAACCTGACGTATACTCCTCATTTGACTCTGAAGATGACTACAGCTAAGGTTGTCGAAACGTCAGTCAACAACAACAAAAACAGTCCTTCTCAGGACTTTATTAACCTGGACGATCATCATTTACAAACATATAACGATGCTCCCGGGTTCAAACCATTTACTTTACTGTTAACTGTTGTTAAAAAAAGTTTGAACTTGCCAAGTACGTACCGAGGTCTAAATCTTGGTGGTTAAAAAATCGTACCTAAACATTGTTTAGGATTTTTGAACATCACAGTCAACAAGTTGAGCTACGTTTGCACACATCACTTAGTCATTTAAGAAATGCAAAACGACGTCCAGCGCATTCGGAGAATACGCTCTTTTTTTGAAATATAAACACCGAAAAATAATATATGATTTTAGTGAGAAATAGCGTCCGAAGAGTTCTAATTTTTGCACGTCTATTGAATGCGATAAACCTGTATAATAAAAGTATATCTTCAATGTGCGTGTTCTCGTTCTTACGTCACATCTTGCAAGACGTGACCTTTTTATATGTTCAAAAGACACATGAAGATAGCATTATCGTTGTATTAAATATATTTTATTTTTATATAATTGATTTAACTATTTAAAGAAATTAGTTCCCAAACCAGATATAGGCATTTCAACACAAAAAAGTCTTTAAAGTGAATACTTGTTGAATTCGAGAGAATTTATAAGCATACCATTGAATGAAATAAAAGTGATGTTGAACCCACTGTATCCAACTCTTGTGTCAGACGAGAATGATACACTGACTACACTTCCTCCAGGAACGAATGTCATGTTGTCGTTTCCACAAAATGCTTTTGTTGTTATTCCGGATATTTTTACGCTGTCGCTACAGCTACCTGATTTTAAGTAGAATAAATTTAAACAAAAAATTAAACACAGATATTTCTCTTTTGTAAAGAAATATAAATATCTGTTTTACCCAAGTTACAAATTATTACGAAATTAAAATGGAATCGGCTTAGCCAGGGAAGATAGGGCCAACACATAAAAAAAACTTAAAATGAAATTTGCGTTATGAATTCAAGAACGTGTTGCACAACGGTGACAATAAGCATGAAACGTCCATCTTTAATCTGCGAAAAAGAACTACCTAAGCTGAAAGGACATGTAGAAAGATAAGCGTATAAATAAATACTGTTTGTTGCGCGCCTGGTTGATTTAGTCACACGCTAGTTCGGTTGCAACATGATTCTTGCAACTTATAGAAGATATGAAGGTGGAAGATTTTTGTGGCTGTTATTAAGAGCTTAATAACCGAGCTCAAGATCTGTACGGAGAAATAACAGACCGAGGTCTTTTTGTACACACCGAGCCCGTATGCGAGGTTTGTACAAAAAGACAAAGGTTTGATGTTTCTTAGTAAAGACCGAGAAAGCTAGGTTATTAAAAGGTTTATTATATGGCATTATTTGACCTGAAACCAAGCTTGCTTTGTTTCTCGCCCTTGGTGTTTTATATAGGTTGACTTTCACTTTTATAGTTTTTGTCAGTAAAAATTAAATTGTTTCAAACTGTATCGTCTGGAAAGTTAAACTGATTTCCGAGTATTTTTCCTTCGACTCACATTCGTAAATGGTTTTTTGTTTCGTTTTTCTTGCGTTTTGCAGTTTGCCATACGAAGTTTGTTTACACTTGAATGTGAAATTACGCGTTTTGGATCGTGGTCGATTGCGGGAAAATAATGGACCGGCAAAAATGTTTCTGAGCCAATCAAAGAGCGACATTTTGCCGGAAGTAACGCTTGCTATATAATAATACGCAGTTAATGTCGCTTTGATTTTGCAAAATTTTGCATAATAAATTTGAGATGAAAATCAGTGTATGATAGCAGCTACTTTTAACTTGTTTTTGCTTTAACTAATACTGTAAAAAGCTGGAAAAAATTTATAGAAGTTATTATAAGCTCATTAGACTTTTGAGAATGCTAATTACATTATTGTGTATAATAGTTTTGGCAAATATATAATAAATCTATGTGTTTTATGTTTTTTGGGACACCCTTTACAACGCCACTTAAAAAGTCAAATGCAGAACACAAATTTGGATTTTACTCAAAGTGTATCAAAATTGTCAAGTTACATCCATTGAGTTCTATAATAACTGGAGCGGCTATCTCAAGCGCGGCCTTAGATATCTGATGATGCCAAAAAAATGGCGGATTTCGTCCGTTGCCGCTGAGATTTACCGAAATTGACCGCTTTTCCGAGAATTTCACAATTTCCCACTCCCTCCTGAGGAAAGAGTGAGGAAAATGTATATGTGTATTTGGGATTCGGCAAGCAATTTTTTGATGAAAATCAAGGTAAAAACCTTAAATTCATAACAGCGAGTCAACTGTGGTTGTCAGTTATCTGCTTCTACGAGGATGCATTTATAACTATCGACGAAAGACCTATATGTCGGCTACACATGTATGAATGCAGATGTGCGTCGTTTTCTTACCAGCGTCAAATTTGTTTGATCGATTAAACTCTTTAGTCTATACAAAAAAGTATATCATAGTTCATCTCCACAGTGGTTCACGAGAGAGAAGTTAGCTTATTTGTTATCATTGCTGTTTCGCTTCTTTTTCATGCAATGGGCAATGGCTTTTTCGCCACAATTGTAGGATTTTTACTTGTTTCTTTAAAAAAGTACATATTAAATCTCTGGATATTTACGGATTTTCTGTAATTGAGTTTCATATGAAATTTCAAAAAGACTCAAGTCTGCATAGGTTTGGTAAATGAAAACAAACAATATTGTATAGAAATTACTTTAAGTAACCTTTTTGTGATGTTCTGAAGTGCAACTGCATCAAATACTTGTAAACTTGTAGCACATTTTGATTTTGTTGTATTGATATATGAATTGGGCAAAATGCAAATAATAATCAAAACACTTATGCTTCCAATGGTGTTTATAATTCATTTGTAGTTTTAATACTTCTACCTTTCTTTTTCACTTTGTTTTGTTTTTCCTATATTTGCAATATAAGTGCAGCATAATTTGAATGATTAACACAGTTTTCACCTTAATAATAAATTTCATAAGCAGTTGGTAATGCACACTGAGTATCCACATCTGCTGTTTTGCTCATACAAGAATGATGAAGTGCAAGTAGATATGTCATAGCAAGGCAATAAAACCAAATGAATTACATTCCTATAGTGTACTTTTATGCTAGAAGCTTAAAGCTTTTAGAAATTAGAAAGTTATTGGATTATATTACCTCTATATCATCAATCTCATGATAAGAAATAAGAAGCAAAAATTTGTAGAAAAGCTTTGAAAAGTGAAAAACTTTTCTTTAAAAAAACAATAATGCATATGATAAATCTCCATTCTGTACTCTAATAGGTAAATAAGCTCAAATTTTCTTGAAGAAATATAAAATATATAAGAAATATACAGTACAGTAACTTTAAAGGTTTCATCACTGAATCTTTAATGCTTCAGTATAGTGCATTAGATATTAGTAACATTCAAACAACACTCAACTAAAATATTTTGATAAAGATATGACATGATTTAAACATTAAGTTACATAAAACCCAATGGCTTATACAGTTTGAAGCTTCACATCTGCATCGAGTCATCATCAATCTCAGTACAAATGTTTACATAGACACAAACTTTATGGCCTTCCATTCTACATGTTTGTGAATTGACATTTCATTAAGCATCAAAACACACACAACCTTCTTGCCATCTTTCTTTGGATCATGAACCTTAACTTCAAAGCATTCAAGGCATCCTTAGTGAATCCATTGTCTCCATCCATAGAATTTGATGTATTCAATTATCTTTACAGCATTATCATTTTTTAAGACTCTGCCTGGTCAATAACATCTTCCAGTCATCTTTACTCCTTGATCTTCCCTGCATGTTGTCAGCAAATAGAACATAACAAGCTCTGCTCCAAATCATGGGTACCGTTGGGGCTGATCATTTCTTTTGATACCAGATCACATTTGATACAGAGCAAAATGTGTGCAGTGTCTTTTGCTTTAGGAAACTATTTTGCAAATAGATGGGTAAATTTACGATTTCATGCATTAACAAATGACAGAAAAGTATACAGAATTTTATAAAATTTTACAAGTATACAGAGTTTTATAAACAGGAAAACATCAGTATATTTGGCGTTCAAGTCAGTCTTAAAAAATACGATCTTTAATATGTATTTTATGGCTTTTCAAGTGCATGTATAATTGCTTTTCAATCGTTGACGGACTAACAAAACAAACAACTACCTCACCTGTGAGAAGCGATATGTTCCTTTTTGTGGAAACTACGACATCCAACAATTGAACGATTGAAGTGTTGGCATTATAAAAGAAATGCCAAAAAAGAATCGTCACAGATTATGGAACTAACGATATCCATATTCTGTGATATCGTGTTTGTTTTTGAAAAATTCTTTATAATATACTATAGACACCAGGGGGTGGTCGAGAATATTATTTTTCTGCAAAGCGATCATTTCAGCGGAAATACGTCCGTTGGCCGCCATTTTTTTGGCATCCTCACCCCAGTAAAGTTAGCCCCTCCAGTTATTATAGAACTCAATGGTTACATCGCGATGTAAATTACCTCTATAAACTATACTTGTTTCAATAAAATGAAGAAATGACAAAAAAACTATAAATACCATTCCCCCTTGTCTCAAGATTCATATATATGATCTTGAAGTTGATCCTCTCTCCGAATGGTCGTCGAATGGTTAGAGCACAAGAAGTATTTGCGGGGTACGTGTTTGGAAAATTTGGTGTCGTAATATAACCACTGGATGATCTCACGACAATGTCCGTACAAATGTTTATGCTGAAACCTTCAAGAAAAATGAAACAAAGAAAATTAATAATCCATAATTCTAACCCGCTATTCTAAGGACACCTTTCTTCGAAGCATCTTTATAAGCTTAGTGTTATTGATAAAATACGAGAAAACTCTTCTGGCGAACAAGATTTTGCGATACTTTTTGTGTAGTCAGTAGTCCCTTTACAACCTACGTCACCTATACATAATATACATTTATAATGTATGCTCTAAAGAGAAAAAATTGAGTTAGGCTTTCCATGAGTCTCATGATTGAAAATGTCCATGAGATTGAAAATGTTCATGAGACTCAGGGATATAACTGCTATAGGTGCTGATATTATGAGCCCGGTAGCCAGGATTCGGCCAAGCGTTAAATGATTTTGGCAAATGGAAACGATTCAATACTTATCATCACATAACTCTTCTCAAGCAATTTCACAAGATTCTGACTTAATAACTACGCAAAACATTTAAATTTAAAACAATCAATTTGCCCTAATTTGAGAATTACAACTGGAGTGACGTGTGGGGCTTCGCAAACAGTTGTAATTTTTAACCTTGAACTTTTGCCTCTTTTTAATTCCTTAAATCATCGGGCTAGCTCGCTATCCAGGCCAGCTCGCCTCCATATAACCAGGCCCGTAGAAAAACTGTAAAAATGGATTCAATTTATTCAATATGTGTGTTGCGTTTTAAAATTTGTATAGAGTAGGTCATTCTGTCAATATTTGTTCTGTCAAATATTTGTCCAACAGGCTATTAAGCATGAACTTGTTCAAAATATTTAACTCAATGCACAAATTCCTATGTAGCTATATTAAATTTTAAATTTAAGCTCGAACTTAGCAGCCTAACTGTTTGACAAATGTTTGATATATACACCCTGACCAGTTCTTGAAAAGTGAGATAAGTCAATGACAGAAACCACAATTTTACACTGCTCAAATTTCAAATCATCACTTTCACACTTTACACGCAAATAGAACATGTGAAATTCTTACAACAAGTATAGTTTTAAAAGGAACAGAATTATAGTAAGATATGAGGAATTAAGTGCATTATTTGTAATTTGCAAGACTTTCAAAGACATAGACTACCTTTTATGATAAAATTTTGGATCTTTCAATGACAAATCACAAATTCATTTCTTGAAGCAATTCTTGCTTTTATAAGTATATGTATAGTATGTTTTTAAGTGCAATTACGAATAGAAATGCACGAGTAAGGTTTTTAAAAACTGTATAGTCTAACTCTGCCAAGATTCTTTACTCTCTATTGCTTCAAAAAAACCTTGTCATGCGGCCTAACTGTTTAAATCCCAAAAACACAGTACTTGCTGTTTTGTTTTAATTCTTTGCATTTTTTTTAATTCTTAATATTCAAGCGATTGAATTTGCAACTGCTGGCATGTTTTTTTTAAAATCAAAAAGAAGTTTGTTGGCTTTCACTGCTTTTCAGTCAATGCTAAAACATTATTCACAGCGCAACTACAGCTTTTCAACAGTGCAATTCCATGATTTTACTATGCAATTACAAAGAAACTGCACTGCAATCAGCCAATCAATCGAGAAGTATCTCAAAGAATATTATTTATGTAATATAGCATCGCATTTACAAGTCCATCTTACTTAGAATGTTCATCTTCAATCTTAACACGTTAATAACCAAACATCGTCAACGATTTCAAACGCTAATATATCTACATTTTGGCAAATATTCCATTTGCAATTGATTTTAAAAATCCATTCTGTTACGAAGATAAAACAGTCATCGCGAAAAATATGCGAAGCAGCATAACAACTTCAATTGACTTCAGATTACTTATAAAGCTATCGTTCCAGTCTACTTACAATTCATTGGCAACAATATATTGAGAATATCTGTTGGCGCTTAGCCAATCACAATCAAGATTCCACCATGTATAATAATTACAATTAACTTGTTTGTTATCAAATGACAGATACATCATTACTTTTATGGTAAAGTACTTGATTAGTTGTTGATTTGCCAGAGGTAAAATTATAGCATATCACAGAGAATGTCGGAATATTTGCCACATTTTGCGTTGAAATGCATTTGTGCTTGTGTTATGTATTTTTAAATTAAAAAGTCAAAAATCGTAATTCATCAAGTAAAGTTTCTTGTTCCCGATCATACAGTCATGATCTTTACTAAGGCAAACTGCTTTAGTAAAGATCATGACTGTATGTTTTGTAAGAATATTGCTTAAAAAAACAATACGTCTTCCTTTACTGGAATATGCAAAACGCGCTTTTTTGCTTTCTTTCGTTTACAGTTTCATTCTTGCAGCGAAAAATACATCGATTTCCCGAAACAGTTTTATGACAGTTTGAACGTAAACAATAAAATTACTCGTCTGCCTTATGGTTATAACATATTGCAATGCGCGTGAAGGAGGACCTTGCACAAAGGTAACTTTAAAGCTTCAAAGTCAAAGTGATATGAGACAACACCCGACTGTAATGTCGAACATTACGCCTACAAACAGTTTTTTGTGCTTTGTGATGTTTTTGTCAGCCTAACACGGTAAAGAATTGTAGGAACATCGTGACTTCTATTCTAAATTGTTTAAAATCCCAAAAACGTGCAATCATACGCAAAGTAAATCCCGCATATAAAAAGACTTACGTGAAATTTCAAGTTCAATAGCTTGTTGGCTAAAGTTTTGAATAATTTTGTACAGAAGAATTTTATTTGTATTACAATAAAAACGCAATAACAGCGGGTTATAACATTCCACCAGAGGCAATTGAGTCACTTCTTTTATGATGTGGAATAAATAACATACCTCGAGAAAATAACATTGACAGCAAAAAAATATATCTAGACCATTCTTTAGATTCCATGTTGAACCAAGCTGCAAAATCGACGAAAAACTAAGCACAGATAATATTCTAGATAGTATTTTTCCTCCCAATAGCCATTTACGTATAGTGAACAAGGTGCACAAATGTTGAGTTGCATTTCAATTTTGTTAATGCTTAGCAATTTGAAACTACCGTTCTTTCTCTTTGAATACAAAATGAAAGTGTGTAAATTACTATTACGAACATAAAAACAATCGCCCTGAAGGAACGCTATACTTTCTTATGTTGTATCACTGTGTCTGCTAAATTTACTTTATTAAGAAATATAATGTGATCTTTTCATTATGCTTACCTTTTGAGAAGTTTAAGATGTTCTAAAAACAATGAAATAGAAATATTGGACTATCGATATCACAAAAGAGCACTTTTGACTGTTGATCAACAGTTTTTACATGTATTTACCAAGGGTTTGTTATGGCTTCGTGTTTCGGCTTTGCTATACCACAGAGTTAAATTTTGAAAACTATGCTTAATCTGGAAAATCTATTCAAAAGACAATTATATGTTGTTATGAAATAGTCTTTTGAAAACACGGCGCTGATTGGTCGAATGATATAACTCAATAATGCACGAGACTTCAGTCTCTCTAGAATCTTGCAGGTTGTGTGATTTTTGCAAGAAATTTCAATGGCAAAAATATAAAACAACATGCCATTAAAATCAATGAATTTATCAAATAATTTGTTTTAATCTTAACGGGCTGTGACGGAGGGATTCGAATATTCATACATGCAGCATATTGCATTATTGTTTTCAACCGATTATAACATGCAATTATGAATATTTGCCAACCCTCCTCTCCCTCGCTCTGGCAGCGCTATTGAATGAAAGAAAAAGATTAAATCAACCTTTCGTATAGAAAGAAAATTGCCGAATGCATGTTTCAAAGCATAGATCAGAGTAAGAAGCTAAATTTACAAATACCGCAATGTGCATATTTCTTGTTTCGTGTTATAATCACTCTAATTACAAGCAATTAACATTCTTGTTCAGAAACCGAAACCTCCGTTATTTGTCACTATGCCAGAAAGGCTGCATAACAACTTCTCACTGAAATGTTGTATTTAACTTTAAAAATCGTAAAGAAGTTATTCTCCTTACTAACATTGACAATATATATCATTAGTTTCACTTTTTGCTAAACAACGTACGTGTAATAAATGGATTATTTGTAACGACAGAACTCGTCAGAAAATACCTATGACCGGAAATTAATCAGCATATCTATAAAATGCGGCGAAGCGACTAATATTTTAAGTAAGAAATATATATATTTTAATTACTTTATTTAAGCTTAGTTCACATATAGTTATGATTGTTGTAATTCCATTGGCGATGAAGTCTACAACAATTAGAGCAGTAAGCTTAGTTCACATATTGTTGTAAATGTTGTGTATTACCGAGGTTTCGCGCGTTATGTCGTAGGTGATTTTGGTTTGATGTACGCATGCGTTGGGACATCTTAACTGGAAAGGAGAAATATGGCGCGTGTTAATGAAAGAGTCCTTTTAATGTATCAATGCTGTTGTTGGACTTAGCCCGAGAACGTTTACGGACTAGAATGAAAAAAAAGGAAAGAAAGATTTGGATAAGAAAATTTTTCAAGAGCGTTAAAATCGAGGTCATTATAACACACCAGTGCATATTAAAGCTCCACGATCGATGTGCATATTCGTTTACCCCTGACGCTCACAAGAACTACACATATCAGATTTTATTGTTCTACTGTTATATAGACTCATTAAATCATGACCTAGATATCTGCGAATGTCTCCGGAAAGACTGGAAAATCTTTACAGATTGTTGCCCCATGCATTCAGAAAAAGAAATGTAGATGGACTGCTCTATAAATGGAGAATCTAATTATTTTAATTATAAACACTGTCATAGCTTAGTATTAATGGCTATGTGTGATGCCAGCTATTTCTTAACTATGGTAGACTTTGGTGGCTTTGGCCGAGACAACGATGCAGGTATATTTTCAGAATTATTATTTGGTAAAGTTTTTCTCAAAAGAAAATTAGATCTCCCTTAACCAGTTAATGTACATGGGCATACTTTACCATTTGTTATTGTGGGCAACGACATATTCTCTTTAAAATCCTGGTTGTTTAAGCCTTATATGGAGAAAAGAATTATCTAAAGACGAAAAATCGAAAACACCTTTGGCACTCTATCTGAAAAGTGGTGAATAATTCGTAGACCAATTCGTGCTGCACCTGAAACAATTTACGTTTAACAGAAAGTGCTAACCATATTCCTAATGGATTTTTTAATTCGGAGGATAGCAGTGGCAATATTATTGCTAGGGACTGGTGAGCAATTCTTAGGAAAGATAGCACTGCTTTGCACAGTATGGTAAGACTTGGAAGCAACAATTATGCACATAATGCAGAGATTCGATTAAAATTTGAGGTATATTTCAATTCACCTGAGGGCTCGTTGTCCTGTCAAATTGATCACGTTCGAATCCCTGAGACAAAATAACAATATAGACAAAGGAATATTCAACAGTGATAATTGCTCTTGTAGTGTATTTTACAAAACATTTAAATAATGAAGATTGATACCACAAAAACAAAATATCCATTATTAAAAGAAGAAACCATGTATTTTAAGTATCACGCCAATTCTGTGAAAGCACAGTTGAAAATATAAATTTAATGTGAAAAGCAAACTATTTTATTGCAAACACATAGGCAATCCTACATTGCATACAAAACTTATGCAACTTAGTTCATTTGTTTAGCACTTATGATTACACACAATTACTACATCATGTCTCCTATGAAAAAATTGTTTTTCTCAATTAGTTTATAACTATCGCACAACTAATATAATTAGTCCATATTGAGCGCAGTAATATCTACAAAAAAAATTACAAAATAATCTTTCTTTTCTCAATATTGTATACAAATCATAGTTTATAGTGTAATGAGGAATTTTCGCACTCACTCATATTTTGATGATTTACGTCAGTCTACATTTACTGTAAAAACTGATTGGTTGAAACAATCATTAAAATTGGTTACCTCAGACGCATTTAAACACTTTACCCAATATTTTTATGGTTACTGTAACCAATCACATGGTCATTTTAACCAATCATTTTTTACAGTGTTAATATTATATGTTTGTAAATGATGATCGTCCAGGTTAATAAGTCCTGAAGGACATTGATAGTTGACTGACGTTTCGACAACCTTAAAGGTTGTCGAAACGTCAGTCAACAATATCAAAACAGTCCTTCTAAGGACTTTATTAACCTGGACGATCATCATTTACAAACATATAACGATACTCCCGGGTTCAAACCATTTACTTTAGTGTTAATATTGCTGTAGAATATGCATCTCTGTTCATTACTGACCTAGCATTTTTAATGTTTTAGAACGTATCTCCATCGTGTAATGGTCTTTATGAAACTGTGGAATTTCCTATCACTACATTTGTAATTGAATGCTACAATCATCAAAGTAAGATCTGTATCAAAATCAATAGTTTGATGTGTTTTCGGCTGAATTTTTTCCGTTGGATAAATAATATACATAAAAAATATCTAAATTCTGATTGATTTAGAACAGTACAATTTATCCCAAATACCAGAGCAAAGAAAGGAATTACAATGCCAATTTTTTTAAATAATGTTTGATTGGTTACTCAAAGCAGTAATATCAGAGCCAATCAAAATAAAACTTTCCAAAGGCGGGAAAGTTAAATTATTGTTAGCAAAAGCAATTACAACGGCCAGGTAAGTTTTAAAGTGGATTTTCTTTGGGAGCCGAGTCTACAGTTCAGCATTTGCATGATATTTTGAGTAAAAAAATAGCAATGCTGCTAAAAGTGGATACATCGTTTTTGCTGCGTGTATGAAGATATGCGGCTGGAATGTACCTGCGCTGGAAATCAACAAAATAGAAAAATCTTGTCATGTACATATAGTCAGTTGCCAGAAGGACAGAAATGTGTTTACACTTACCTTTTCGAGAGGCAAATTTTCTTTTTTAGCCAAAATGCTCCTTAAGAGTTGCTTAAGTACTTTGTCAATGTTAGCTGCCTTCAATTTATTTGAAGAAGACTGTCAACACCTTTTCCTGTGCACTTCTGAAATTTACGAATGCCAGCCATGTATTTTATAAAAATAGAATTGCCCGCAGTTCTTAAAGCAGTGGCTATCTTCAAAAATGCAAATCAGCCAATTTTTCATGGAAGAAAAATTTTGCAATAATAATTTCAAACCTTTTTAATTGTAAAAATGCAAAAATATTTAGTATGTCAAAAAACGCAAACGGATCGCTTCGTTCTAGTCATCTTTTTTAATAATGGTGCAAATCTTACTCGATTTCACGCAATTTGTTAAACTTGGTAACTGGAAACTCCCCATACGACATAAAACAATGCTACCGTGGATGTTTGCTTACGACCGTTCAAACTATGCACATTATAAATTTTTGTTTATTTTACCGTTAAATATTTTAACGTTGTAATTAGCTACCACTTTCGCCTTCGTTAGCGTTGCTTTTTGATGTAAATAATCAAGTTCATCGTCAGAAACGTAATTAAAACGCAACATGGCAGTCATGCTTCTTGCTACGCTATCTATTGGTTTACTATTGGCTTATCTATTGAAAATATACATTGTGAGAAAAGTAGCCAATCAAATTAAAACAATTGCTATAGAATACTATAATACAATTCAACTAAAACTCTACAAGAACACGGAATTTGTTATCTATTTCTTAAACACATAAAAAACACGTAACCCTAATAAATATGAATAGCTACTATGTTTAGTGCAAATCTCGTAGTCGCAACTACGACGTCTTTAAAGCAAAGAAAGTTTGTTTGATTCCTCATTGTGTAAGTAATTAGTTTACAATAGCTACTATTTTTGACCTTCCAGTCTTTATTTCAGTCTCTTATTTAAAAGTAGATGTACATATAAAATGAAAATATACGAACTGCAAAACTTCCATGTATCTGGAACCCGAAGTGAATTGTAACCAAACTGTAAAATACTACAAATATATATTACTTAAGATAATATAAAAAATGTTTCTTGTTGTTTGTCAATTTTCGATCCATCAAATGAGAAGATGGTATATAGCAACACAACGAAAAATGTTCACTTATTTAATTTCACTTATATCAAAATAATCTCTTGGATATATTTTACCATTTATCCAAACATTTTAGACATGAACCTCATATTTCAATTTAACTTTATCATATCACGAGACTATAAGGGTCTGTTCATGTGAGCCTGAATTGTGAGATATCCCACTGAGCAAGCAAATATTACTCCGCTTTCATGTGAGAAATTGAAAAAAAATATGAAAATAAAATTTTTTGAAAGGCTGTGAGTTACAAATCGCCTTGACGCATCATTAATTTTATTTCTTTGTATTGTTTGGTTTTTTTCCAAGTCAAAGTCTGTGTTATTATAATG